CAAACCAGCAACTATTGAGGAGTGTCATAAAACTTCATTCTTTGAGTATTGGGAAAGTTAATTCAGATATTACTCTAAGCATATTCACAAATTAAAAGATTCAGACAGGATCTGTGTAGAGAAATAATCTGCAGTTATTTAACATAAACTTGATTTGCAGTGATCTTTAAGTACTTCTGCAAAATCTGGTATTACTATGTAAAGTCACTGCTTTTGGTAAATTGTCTGACCCAGTTATTAATGAAAAAATATGAATTTGAAATTTTTAAAACTGAATAATTTGTGCTGTGACAGAAATGGTTTTATTACTATTGTTTACTGGGTATAATTTTCCAGTGCATTGATGTGAAGAGATAGAAAATCTAAACTAATTTAGTTACCAATGGGGGGTATATTTACTGTGATGAAGATGAGACAGATGCCATCAGAGCTTTGTGAATCAGCTGGGGTGTTTTCACTGATAAACACCACATAGCAGGTGTGCATTCATTACAAATATATGTATCTGCCAAGGTGGAGCCACTTTAAAGAGTGAATTTTGTCTTGTATCTAAAGTGGATACAAGCGTATGTTTAAACTGCAAGATTTTTACTTGCTAGAGAATCTGTTTTAATATAGTGGTTTCGCCTCTGATTATTTATAGGTTTTATAAATTTTAGAATCAATTTCTCTTTAAGGTGGCTCAGACTTTTCAACTCTTGTGCACATAAAATTGAGTTGAAGTTCATTGTGCCTTTTTTCTTTATCCAAATTTTGAGTTAAAGCTTCATATGGTAACTGCATCCTGTTCAGACACTGTAGTCTAAATTTTTGAAACTGTGTGGTGTTCACTAAAAGTAGGAAATAACAGAATCAAAGCTAATTAATAATTAAGGTCACAAACTTCGGTGAAACCCTTAAAGTCCAAATCTTCTTGATATTGTGAATTGTACCCCTTCCAGTTTAGTTTCTTCTGGACTCTCCATACTTACTGACAGTTACCTTTTAAATTTTGCACACATTGAGATTAAATTGGGCCTCTATTGTGCCGATTCCCATTTCCTCTTGTGTTTTAAGTGTACACTAATGTAAGTGAACATTAGCATCAAGTAGTGCAGACGTATGTATGCATTTGCTTGATTCAGTTTGTTGTGACCTTATCAGTTTGGAATTGGAATTGCATCATTTCATAGATAAAGGAAACTAAGTATATTGTTGCACTTTTAAGTTTTCAAAACAGTGTTGAAAAATTGCATTGTTTTTATTTTTTTTAAACTCAGTTAAAAAAAGACTAAACCGTTTTCAAAAGAGGCATCTAAATGTGTTCCTAATTTTGTATATGGGCTTAGGTTTTGTAACCAATAAAAAAAGCTGCTATCAAATATGATAAAACATTGAAGAACTTATTTCTAAGAGTATCTTCATTTTCTAGTTTTGTTTTCTGCATGGTTAAATTTAAATTCAGAATTGTTTTCCAAACATCAACAACAATGGAGGTGAATTATGAATTAGCCTTTCATTGTATTTTAATATCTCCTTTAAGTACCAAAATCTTTATTAATTTCGTAAGGTGCCGTAACAAAGTACCACAACCAGGTGGCTTCAAGCAATAGAAACTTATGATCACACAGCCCTGGAGGCTAGAAGGCTGAAGTCAAGGTGATGGCTGGGATATGCTCTCTCTAGGCTCCAGGGGAGGATCCTTCCTTGTCTCTTCCTGGCTTCTGGTGGTTGTTGGCATTTTTGGGCTTATAGCTGCTTCACTCCAGTCTCTGCTTTCGTCATCACATGGCCGCCTCTCTGCATATCTCAGGCTTAAATACCATAACTTAAAGAAAGACCATTTGAAGTAAACCTGAAATTTTTAACCTGTTAAATAGAGGGTGTGGCTTTAAATGAAAAGAACAAAGGAACAGCCTAACTTTGCATATACAAATATTTTTACTTTTGTAAAATGCAGCTTCAAATTATTTATGAAGGAAATCAGTGTATAAGTAAATAAATGTGATGGTAGTACTCTTACAGAATTTGCTGTAATTTCCTTCAGAAGGGTTGTCCTTTTCGTGGAATTGATTATTTGATTACTGCAGGTGAAAATTTATGAATATCAGTTGTCTTACAGTGATGGTTATGATTTTTTTTAACCCTAGTTGAACTGGAGGGTTTTAATTAAATCTATTTGGAGAAAGAAAAAATAGTATAATTTGTGTACAATAAGCTGCAAGTCTTAAGGCATATAAACCAAGGAGTGCTCTGTAACCCACCACTCATTTGTCTGAAGTATAAAAGGAACTGTTCATATAAATCTTGTACTTTATTAGCTGAAAAACAGTGGTAGAATGATTCTCAAAAAGTACTGTATAGAGAAGGGGATATATAGATATAGATAAATATATAGAGATGGGGCTCAGTACTATATCAAGAGAAAGTGTTTGGGAAAGGGGATGCAGAGTTCTCACATCCTTAGCCTTTTTTATTTGCCCATGAAATCCCTCAACAAACTTAGGCCTATATCAGGGTGTCTCAAACCGTGAAACAGATATTTTAGGCTGGATAATTCTTTGTTGTGGGGGGCTGTCCTGTGCATTTTAAGATGTTTAGCAGCATCCTTAGGTTCTACCAACTAGATGTCGGTAGCACCTCTCCACTCCCCAGTCTTAGCCAAAAATGTCTACAGGTTTTGCCAGGTGTCCTACACCAGTTCCTGTACAAAACTCCACTCAATTAGACAGCCTAAGTCATGCCTTTTAGTTTTGTGAACAGTCCCAGGCTTCCCTCAGGTGCAGAAGATAAAAAGAGAGGAGACAAAAATGTGCCTTGTCTTCATTCTCAGTTTCAGGAGAGATCAGAGCCACATTCCCAAATTACTCATCCGTGGGAACTCCTGGTAGTACTGAGCCTCATCTGTTTGCAAAGGACTTAGGGTAGAAATGGGAATATGGGGTAACTAGGTACCCATAAACTTATTCTGTAGCTAAAAAACAAGGCATGTAAAACAGTCAAACATGTTGATGGACCACATTCTTCCCAGCACTGCCCTGGAGCAGTGTTTTTTCAGACATTTTTAGTTGAAGATAATTAAGTTCTCTGGGAAAGCTGGGTTGGACCAGAGCAATCACAGCATACTTTAAAATATACTTCTTTGAAGCATTGTGAGCGATTGGCCCCATCAGGAAATTTACAAGTTTAGTAAAAATTATTAAAAGTAGAGGAACCACGTCTGAGCCAGAATATAAAGGATGTGTTTCCTACAGGAATTTCTTCTACAACATTCCTTTTCTCTACCCTAACCAATTGCCATCCACCTTGTTGGGTAATTTTGTTTTTCCAAACTGGTGCCCGAAGATAATTGGGGCCTTGTTGCAAGTAATGTATGAAGACTCAGCACAAACACTCATTGGATAGCAGTTTTACCTTACCTGGTGGTAAGTAAAACAGTTGTATGGTAATACAAGCCTAAGTGTTACAGAATAAAGGACACATTTGCATAACATTTTATTTTTTTATTGATTTCAAAGAGAGGAACAGAGAGGGAGAGAGAGAAACATCAATGATGAGAGAGTCATTGATTGGCTGCCTCCTGCACGCCCCCCGCTGGGGATCGAGCCCACAACCTGGGCATGTGCCCTGAACGGGAATGCAATCTCGATCTCCTGGATCCTAGGTCCATGCTCAGTTGCTGAGCCACGCCGGCTGGGCTGCATAACATTTTAAAGATAAAATCAGATTTTTGAGGCAGGCCATTTTATGGAAAGATCCCAGCAGAAGTAAGAGTCAGGAAAGTGAGAAGCAAATGAGCCTGTTCTGCTTTGTTGAATAGCTTTAGTTGTTACCAAGTCTTCTTAATGTACAAAAGTCACAGCTCTTAAATGACCATCATTAGAATTAACTATTCATGATTCAGAGTAGATATTGTGTTCCCAGATAGCAGAAGACAGATTTGTTTTTATCAGCTCCCTTCCTCAACCTTAATATCCATGCATTTCAGCCATCCAGAGTATAAAGTCATTCCTGGACGTAGTTTCTGTCAGCTTCATGCATTCCAATGACCCTAAGAACTGAGTGTGATGTGACTAGTTTCTGGGTACAACGGAATGGGAACATTCCGTTATCTGGACACAATTCTATTAATGTGGAGGAGGTTGTTTCAGTTATTTTACCAGCTTCATCATAATTAGATTTGTGATCAAGTAACAACCTGGGCTCCGTCTATCATCAGCTCTCTTTGACCCAGTAGTTGGGCATTTACACTTTCAAACCTAAATATAAGGAGTTATAAATGTTATATTGATTTTAGCCTAGCTTTCCTAATAGCAACAACAGATTCTTTTATTGATTGTATCCTTTCCATATCTTTAGTTTTTATAAGTAAGAATTTTGACTAAGCCTGTAGAAACATTCAAGTATTTCTTGGGCACCATAACCCATACCAGGTACTATGCTAGGGCACAAGATGCTTACACACACAAATAGAAGTAAAAGTTATGACAAATGTTAGGGGGGGAAAGGTATAAAATAGAGGGACTTGGCCTAGTTAGGAAGGTAATAACCGGGCTGGCAGTGAGCCCTTACTCAGTGCCAGCCACCGGTATGGGCATTTAGAAGTACCAACCCAATCCTTTCAACAGCTCTGTGAAGAATATTCCGTTATCAGGCAGAGAAAAGTTTTCTCAGAATGACAGCTGATGATGGTGAAGAAAAGGCATATTCCCTGGGAATGCTGTCTGGTAGAGGAAACAGTCCTACAAAGGCCATGTAGGAAGCACCGTGGAGAGTTCGGGAAATGAAAGAAAGCAAGGACCCCTACCCCAAAGATAACTGAGAGGATTACTGAGGCAAGCGAGGGGCTAAAGAGGTAAGTGGTGGTCAGACCCCACAGCCTGGTAACTTACATAGTGGATTTTGGTATTCTAACAGCCAAAAGGTAGGTAGTATTAAAAAGAGTGGTGATGGAAGAATTGTGTTTAATAACAATAACTGGCTGGTAAGGTAAGGACAGGAAATGTGCTCTGGATTTAGTGATGTGTAGAGATCACATTCGTGAGAGTAAAGCACCGAAGCAAGAGATGGTGAACAGCGTGGTCCATGAAGTGGATGGGATCAGGAGGTACTTGGCAGCTAAAATAGAACAGGAATTGACAATGCCTTAGATGTGGAGTTCGGGGAGAGGGGAGTATCGATGATGATTTCTAGGTTTCTAGATTGCCTTAACTGATAAATGGAAGTAACAAGATAGGGAACACTGGCAGAGCCTCACGGGGGAATAGAGGGCGATGAGTGTAGTTTGGTTGTGTTGACTTGAGACATGCAAATAACTTGTCAAGTAGGGCAGTTGGAAATACCGGTCTGGAGCTCAGAGGAGAGGGCCAGGCAGGACATTTGAATCCTCTGCCTATTTCTGGTAGTTATTAAAGCAGGGGTGAGGATGAGACAGTCTGGACTCAACATTTGGAGTGAGAACAGGGTTTGGGACTAGCTGCTGTCAGGTTCCAGCATTTCACAGAGATGTAGTGGAGGCTGAGGTTGCAAAGGAAACAGAAGGTATGGCTAGGAAGGTAGAAAGCCCTGTGTTTTCTCAGAAAACTGAGGGAAAATATTTCAGTGTTCAGTGATGCTGTTGAGGGGTCAAGTAGGGTAAGAGCAGGAAATGTCCTTTGGGTTGATGATGCAGGGGTCGGTCACTGGTCACCTTACAGCTGTATCACCAGTAAAGAGGGTGGAAGCTAGAGTAGGAAGGACTGAAGAGCAGGAACAGAATAGGAAAAGAATGAATCTAATTAGTTTCTCAGGTTTTTATTTTACTCTGAAGGGGAGGGCAGGGTAGTCACTAAAGGGTGATATAGGGTATTTGGTGGGGGGAATCCAGTTGAGAAAGATGTTGAATACACAAAAAATGATCGTAAGTTTTCTAAGTTAACAGAATTGGCCATACTCCTTCAATCATCAGTTATTTAATATGCCAATGTCTAATAGATGCAAAGACACAGCAGTAAACAAGCCAATCACAACTCCTGACCTTGTGGAGCTTATATCCTAGTGGCAAGAGACTAGCAATAAATGTATAAATAATTTTATCTGCTATGTAAAAAATTATATAGGGAGTAACTAGGGAAGAAAGTTACTGAACTTGTGTTCAGTCCCAGAAATTTTTTTTATTGTGGTAAACACACATAACATAAAATTTACCATCTTAACCGTTATTAAATGTACAGTGCAGTATGTTAAGTATTTTTATATTGTGAACCAACACTTCAGAACTTTTTCATCTTGCAAAATGAAACTCTATAGCCATTAAACAATTCCCTTTCCCCCCAGTACGTGGCAACTACCATTCTATTTTCTGCCTCTAGGAATATGACTATTAGATACCTCATATAAGTGGACTCTACAGTCTTTGTCTTTTTTTGTGACTGGCTTATTTCACTCAGCATAATGTCCTCAAGGTACTTCCATGTAGTAGCATGTGTCAGAATTTCATTCCTTTTTATGGCTGAATAATATTCCATTGTATGTATATACCACATTTTAAAACAACAAATAATCTTTTTTAGCATAAGTACCCTAGTGATACTTTAGTATAAATATATACTTTAAAATTAATTCATTTTTTTAAAATCCGAAACTCAAATTTATCTGAGCATCCTGTATTTTACTTAGCTACCCAAAATTAAAAACACAGACATGGTCAATAAGGGTTGCAATCTTTTTAAACTCTGACTCCTTCCAGTGTTAAGTATCTACATAACAGAGGCCTAAGGAAGGGAGCAGGGAAGACAGGTAAGAGCAGATTTTAAAAAGAAGAAAAAGAAGATGCTAGCAAAAACAGAGAGGTTAATGTGATTGGGATAAAGCGGCACTTTCCTTAGAGGAAAGCTGTAATTGTCTATCAAGATGTCAGAGTGCAGAGTCAAACAACAAAGGCCTTGGGGACAGCCAGTCATGGGTTCTGTCCTGGGCCTATCTGGGCCCGTTTTCACACTTGTAAAATAGGGAAACACTGACCTCCCAGAGCTGTTGTGACATTAGATAAGATTACGGAGCTGAAAGCACCTAGTGCCAAGCTGATTTGACCTATTGCTCCTCTCCCCCACGCTTTCGCTGCTTTTCTGGATTTTTGAGAAATAGGGTCAGAGTATGCCACAAGGGCTTTAGAAAGCCTGCTGGTGACTGAAAACTAACTTGGCGGTCACCTCTCCTGCAAGATTTGCAGGGGCCTAATTAGAACCTTTTGTCCCTAAAAATTCTACCGTCTTTTGGCAAAATCTATCACATTTGGACTTCACTTTGTAGCTTAAGGTTTTGAACCTTGTTAAAAATAAAACTGCATCAAAAAGTGTGGCCCTATATTACCAGTCCTTTGGGTTTGGTCTGGGAACAGGTTTGGACAAGCAGTTGTACGAGCTCGTGAGCGGAATCCTGACTCTTCAGAAAACCTCCAGGCTCGGCTCGGCAGCCTGGAGGCGAGGCGGGAAGGAAA